TTAGCCGTTTCTGCCTGTCATGATGATCAAGAAAAAACACAAGGATAAAATGGAGGAAGGGAGAACAAGGCTGTAAGCCACTTTGGATATTCACTGGGGAGAAGAGTGGGGTATACATATCCAAACTGATTCATGAGAGAAGCTGGTACTGGGAATTCTCACAAACACATACATATAAATATAAAATAAACCTTCAAACAGATCCCAAGCAGGAGTGAAGAACTCGTCCATTCAGTTTGTCCAAATATCTTTTTAAAATGGGATTGGAAACTCTACTTAAGAAAAGCCCTGCTGGATCAAATCAGCGGTCCATCTAGTCTAGCATCCTGTCTCACACAGTGGCCATTCCAAACCAGTTCCTCTAGAGGGCCAACAACAGGGCACAGAGGCCGAGGCCTTCCCCTGATGTTGCCTCCTGGCTCTGGGATTCAGAGGCCTTAGTGCCTCTGAATGTGGAAGTTCCCCTCAGTCACTATGGCTAGATAAGAGGTTCCCCTCAGTCATCCCAGCTAACTAAGTGCCACAGGAAGTGGTGGCGAGTCGACTACAAGCATAGACAGCTTCAAGAGGGGACTGGATAGATATACAGAGCAGAGGTCCATCAGTGGCTATTAGCCACAAGGTATAGATGGAACACTCTGTCTAGGGCAGTGAAGCTCTGTATTCTTGGTGCTTGGCTGGTAGACTTTCTGATGGCACCTGGGTTTTGGCCACTGTGTGACACAGACGTCGGACTGGAGGGGCCATTGGCCAGATCCAACATGGCTTCTCTCACATTCTTAACATCTCATCTCATCAGTCAGCCTCGCCAGACGACAGCACAGGGGGGGGGGGGGGGGCAGGGTGATCAGCTCTTTTGAGAGCATCTCAATCTGCAGTCATCTATGGAGCAAAACTCCCAGAAGTTAGGAAAAGAACAGAGCAGGCAGAATTCTCCCTAATGGGGCTTGGAGTTTGGTTCTGGGATGATCTTTTCCCTGCAGCCTTGGTATTCCCATTTCTAAAACAGGAATAGCTCAAAGATTAGGTAAACAGAGTTTCGTAACCCCATTCAAACCACCTCCTTTTCTGCTTTATTAAAACACACACGGCAATCTTAAACATGTTTACTCATCTTAATCATGCCAGACAGGAATCTTAAACATGTTCAATGCAGTAGAAAAGAGCAAGAGTCCAGTAGCACCTTAAAGGTAAATGTAAAGGTTCCCTTGCTCGAAAGCCAGTCGAATCCGACTCTAGGTTCTCTTGCTCGAAAGCCAGTTGAATCTGACTCTAGGGTTGCGGTGCTCATCTCCGTTTCAAAGCCGAAGAGCCAGCGCTGTCCAAAGACGTTTCCGTGGTCATGTGGCCGGCATGACTAAACACCGAGGCGCATGGAACGCTGACCTTCCCACCGAAGTGGTACCTATTTATCTACTTGCAATTTCTTGCTTTCGAACTGCTAGGTTGGCAGGAGCTGGAACTAGAGATGGGAGCTCACTCCGTCATGCGGCACCCGGGTCTCGAACTGCGTCTTAACCACTTGAGCCACCTCAGCTCCTGTAGCACCTTAAAGACTATCAAAACTTGTGGCAGGTCAGGAGCTTTCGTGAGTCACGGCTCACTACTTCAGAGGCATCTGCTCTCTTCTACTGCTACAGACAGACTGACACAGCTCCCCCCCTTGATCTATGCAGTGGGACTTGCTGTTAAAAACAACTGTATATGGGTTTTCAGCCCAACTTCACCTTTTTAGGATTGGAAGAGAAGAGATATTCAAGCTGCTTCAGGCCCCCTTTCCCCTGACCTGAAAAGATCTTCACCGATTCCATTTTTTAAGACTATGGAAACAGAATTGACAAAGCTTTTTATTGGTTTTGCCAAGACTGCTCACCCCTCCATAAATAATTTAGTTTTATCCCTATGCTTAAAAGTGACAAATCAGGAACAGAGCAAGAACTTATAACAACGGCTTGGAAAAGTTGAGTATATTTAGTGCAAAAATATACCATGACACAGGGAGGCCAAATGACGCCAGTAGCATTGATAGCCATCTGTATTTTCCTTCCCAAAACGTATCGCTAAATCTAAGCACTAAGTGGCTATCTCTCACGTCAATCACTAAAAGAGCCGTCGGCTACCCACAGAAAAAGATAATGCTATGCTATGCTGGGGATTATTAGGAAGGGGACTGAAAACAAATCAGCCAGTGTCATAATGCCCCTGTATAAATCTATGGTGCGGCCTCATTTGAAATACTGTTTACAGTTCCTGTCACTGCACCTCAAAAAATATATTATAGCATACGAAGAGGTGCAGAAAAGAGTAACTATGGCCCCGGTCACACGGGCCGGATATCGCGGGGGGAGGCGTGGCTAATTGCCCCGGCGCAGTTTGATCCGCGATTACACGATCAGACGTGCCGGTGGCACACCACGGGTCCTTCCCTCGGCGCCGGCGGGTAAGCGAGGGACCGGAGGGGGATGCCATGATCACACAACGAGGGACCGGAGGGGAATGCCATGCGCCGGTGCGATCACACCACAGGCGTCTGGAGGCAGCCCGTGGCAAACGTTTACTAGTACCTTGGAGGTACTAGTTTTTTAATGCGTGTTGTCGGCGGTAAGCCACGGGTGCGCTCCACTTCCCAGATATTGGGGTGTGATCGCGCCTGGATAATCCGCCCACCATCCGTGCCTCTCCCGCGGCAACTTTGCCGTGTGACCGGGGCCTAAAAGGATTAAGGGGATGGAACACTTTCCCTATGAAGAAAGGTTAAAGAGGTTAGGGCTCTTTAGTTTAGAGAAACGACGACTGAGGGGTGACATGATAGAGGTTTCCCAAATAATCCCAGTCCCCCCTTGAAGCTGTCTATGCTTGTAGCTGCCACCACTTCCTGCGGCAGTGAATTCCACGTGTTCATTACTCTTTTTTGGGTGAAGAAGCACTTCCTTTGATCTGTTCTAAGCCTACGGCTCAGTGCTTATGTGGAGAAACAAACACTTTGTTGTGACACGTCTCAGAAATGTAGCCCAACCAAGGGAAGCAGACCAGAGAGAATGAACCGCGAGTTAATCTGTAAGGTACACAACTGGAATGATGAATTTTGATATCGAAGAACCCACTACACGAGACCTTCAAGAAACCAAAGGATGTACTGCCAAGTCGCAAGATCTCTATACGACCCCCGGCTGATTTGATTTGCTGCCAGGGACCTGAATTTCATTTAATACAACGTCAGATGGAAACATCGTTCAACGGGACTCTCAAAATCACCTTGTAACCCCTCACGCATCTAGCTATCAATCAGTAGGACTTCTGCCAACCTTCCTTCCGCTCCTTGAAGAGGAATAGGAAACCAAACCTCCAGTAACTCAACAAAATACAAGAACAGCAAACATTCCTCCCACCCCAGCTCCCAATTTTCTGTGGCAACATAACCTTCACTGGCCATGGCCCCTACTCATGGAGGAGAGGCCTATCAGCGGCTCCATGTTCAGAGGCAGTCAGCCTCTGAATCCTAGTGCCAAGAGGCAATATCAGGGGAAGGCCTCGGTCTCTCTACCCTGTTGTTTGACCTTCAGAGGAACTGGTTGCCCCCTGTGAAACAGGATGTCGGGCTAGTTGGACTACTGGTCTGATCCAGCAGGGTTCTTCTTATGTTATGACAAGGATACACAAAAGAATCAAGACGGGTTGCCGTGTTAGTCTGTCTGTAGCCGCAGGAAAGAGCAAGAGTCCAGTAGCACCTTAAAGACTAACAACGAGGTAGTGTGCCATCAGCAGCCCTGTTAAAGGGGGACTGGCCCGGCCTGGTAGAACAGCGTAGCAGGAGACCGCGTTGCCGAGAGAGCTGGCCATCAAATTTGGGTTGTTGTTCCCATCTTGGAAGATTAAATATAGGCTCAACACCGTGTGATAGGATGGTTTTATTGTGTTTTAAATATGTAATTTATTATATGTTTTATTGTATTTTACTCTGGCTTTGCCATATGTAAGCTGCCCTGAGCCGTTGGGAGGGCAGAGTATAAACAAAAATAATAATAAACAAACAAATAAATAAAAATTTGTGGCAGGGGGTGAGCTTTTGTGAGGCACTGCTCCCTTCTTCAGATTTGCTCACTTCTTCAGATTCAGTTACCCGAAGAAGTGAGCAGTGACTCACGAAAGCTCACCCCCTGCCACAAATTTTGTGGGGCTGTCCCACCGAACACATGAAGGTGCCTCCTACAGGGTCAGACCCCTGATATGCCAAAGCCTCCGCTGTCTACTCTGACCAGCAGTGGCTCTCCAGGGTCCTTTCTTTTTTTAACTGGAGATTCTGGGGATTGAACCTGTGGCCTTCTGCACACAAAGCAGGGCCACTTCCCCCTGAACTAGGTGGCTTCTCAGCTTGTCTGGACCCATGGCAAAGAAGCCCTTGAGAGAGTCTACCAGACTTTCCACAGCTTCCACCCCACCGTCAATCTAACTGTGAATTACTCTACACAAGAAATAAACTTCCTGGACACCACAGTACGGATACATGAGGGACACATAAGTACCACATTACACCAGAAACCAACAGATGAGCAAACATATCTACATGCCTCCAGCTACCACCCAAACCACATCAAACAATCCATTGTGTATAACCAAGCCCTACACTATAGTCGCATCTGCTCCAACAGACAACAGAGTGTCGACAGATACTCACTTGAAGGATCTGCAACAGGCATTTTTGCAACTACGGTGTCCTCCTGAGATG